AAACAGCTGGAGAGAATATAGTGTAATTTTATAGCAGCAAATGGAGCGTAAAAATGTGAAAAATCAGTGTTTTTTTTAAAAAGAAGGAGCAAATAGTTGATATCATGTCAAACTAATCAAACACAATGAAAAAATATCCTGCGATAAATGAAGATCTGACCCAGGGAACAGTAATTAAATATACGATTCTAACACATAGTGAAAATATTAAATGCAAAGAAACAATATATGGATGCTAGAAGTACTCAACAGAAACAATATAAAGGCAAAAAAATGATATGTAAACAAGAAAATTTGGCTGACCTTTGATTTCTTTTATGAAATCTAGATGCCAGAAACATTCTAAAGGTTTTGAGTAGAAAATTTGGGACTCCCATAATTTCAAATAAACCAAGTTTTCTTCCATGTGTATAAACTAAAAACAGATATCCTCCTCCCTTCCTGTTGGGGAAAAAGTGCTCTGCTAACACCTCAGCCTGTAAAGCTCACACACTTCTCCTTACCTGGCAACTCCTTTTTTGCTCATCATCCTTCAGAATCAGCTCCATGGCCGTTCTTTCCCTGGGCCCTCAAATAAAACCTGTTGTCGTGCTATTCTCTCTTTCACAGAATAAAATCCTTTCCTTTTATAACACATTTCTGAATTTGCATTTACATATTCAGCTGTGTTCATTATTAACTATCAATCTTCCACATCAGGTTATAAGACTCATGAGGGCAGGCCCAGTCTCTATTTTGTTCACCACTGTACACACAGTGCATAGCAGTGTTGGGTAGGACATAGTAAATGTGGAGGGAAGGGCAGGGATGGAGGAGAAGGTGGTTGTACACCTTACTTGAACTTGGAAGAGGGGAAGGCAACAGGGGGCAACAGGAAAAGAGGAAAAAAGTCAGGGAGAGTCTTAGTCATCTCAGGCTACTCTAACAACATGCCCAGAAACTAGGTATCCTATAAACAACACATTTTCATTTCTCATGGCTCTGGAGGTTGGAAGTCCGAGATGAGCGTGCCAGCAGGGTCAGGTTCTGGTGACAATCTTCTTCTGGGTTGCAGGCTGAGATTTCTCCCTGTTATCCTCACATGGTGGAGAATAGAGCAGTGGAAGCAAGCTCTCCAGTGACTCTCACAAAGGCACTAATCCCACTCAGGAGGGCCCCACCCCCAAGAGCTCATCTAACCCTAATTACCTCCTAAAGGCCCTGCATCCTAATACCATCACATCATGGGTAGAGTTTCAACACATAAATTTTGCAGGGATGCAAACATTCAGTCCCTAAAAGGTAGATGGCTGGGCACAGGGTATGAAGAGGGGTGTCAAAAGCTGCTAGAGAAGGCCTCATTCACATCTGAGTATGTGAGCTCAGTAGTTACATATGGCTGTGCAGAGTAGAGGGAGAGACAGATGAAGGAGTCTCTGAAAACATGGAGAGAGAATGGATGAAAGAGGAAACAAAAAATATCTTTTCCTAGTTCCCAATGAAAATCCCTCTCTTTTAGATGAATTTTTATTAAATAAGTAGTAATTGGTTGTGTGTCCCAAAAAAGACAGGATTTAGGTAGGGTGTTTACCTCTTTAGGTAGGGTGTTCTCTTCAAAGAGTTGACAATGAAAGCTATTTTTTCTCTGAAAAAATAATTATTCATATTGTCTGTTCCATTTAACATCAGCCTTAGGAGGAAAACTGTAACCAGTAAACAGTAGCATCTGAAAGTAGTAAATTCTCTTCAGCATCCTTTGTAATGGGGGAGTTTCCACTGCGCAAGTGACCAGTTCTGGGCTGTGCCCTTCAGGCCACAATTCCTCTGGCCATTAAGGATTCCATTGTTTGTTGAGGTCACAGGGTAGTGTGTCTGTGCTTACAGGTGTCACAGAATATTTGCACAGGGTATTGTGCACACCAGGCAATTCAAATAGGGTTAAACAAAGTCCCAAAGCACAAGTGGCATTCCACTACTAGGATGTCTATGGGTGCTGTCCTGATGATCGTTGATGGAAGTTCCAATATCCATAGTGAGAGACGAGCAACTATTATAGCTCTGCCACCTGGGAGACACAGCAGTAATACAAGATGATGGCTTGAGTTAGCTCTCAGGGCTGGACACTAGCCGGGCATGGATCTCTCCTAGTGCTGATTCCAAGTATTTCCTGTGGTTCCCTTGGGAACTCTTACACCACACCTCCCATCCCAGGCAATGTTCCTCTAGCTTGGCTTTTCCTAAGTTTTTGTTCCTTCAGATCTTAAAAATCACCTCTCTCTTGCAGATTCCACCATATCGTGATAATAAATTCGGTGTTTATAATTCTCATGAAAGTTTTTAACATTTCAGTACTTTTTTTTTTTTAATCCAAAAACCTGATGTGTAGAATGTGAAACAAAGAAAAATAGAACAAGGAAAACAGGCATATGTCAGAAGTCACATTACTAATCGGTGAGTAAACAATACTATATAATAGATCAATGTTATGAATTTTGTGGTTTAAATATGTTATATGCATCTTATTTTTGTCATCTTAATTTATCCATTTTTAATAGAGTTTTGTTAAAATCTCCAATGTTACTGTGTTTGTTCATTTCTCCTGGTAATTCTGCAAGTTTTACTTTTATTAAACTTAAAGGTTATGTTGTTGAGTGCCTACAAATTTATAATCAGCATGGATTCCTATTGGCTTTTTTTTCATAATTATATGGTATCTTTTTTATGCTAATAACATCTTAAATTTTATTTTGTCAGGTATTACTTTTCTTACACTGGTTATTTTTTACTAAGAATTTGTTTTGTTTTTCATGCCTTTATTTTGAATCTTTCTATGTGGAATTGTTTTAGATTTTTGTTTTGTTTTGTTTTATGGAAGCAGCCTATTTCAAATTCAATTTTACAAACTGATTTTTAATATGAAAGTCTAATCTATTTACATCTTCTGTGAGTCTAGTGGGGTTTATTTCTGTCACCTTATTTTTGGTTTGAGATAACCATGCTTTTTCTTTATTGCTGTTTTCTCTTCCTCTGCCTTCTGTTGGTTTGGCAAAATGTTCTACTTTCCCTTTTTTATTTGCTTTACAATGAATTATTTTGCTTGTGTGTTTGTTTTGGGGCCCATCTGGGCCCTAATCTGAAGCTAGGTTCTATTACCAACAGTCACACTGGGGACGTGGCAGATCCAGGCTCAGATCAATGACCCAGTTTTCACAGCTCCTGGTCGTGCAGATGTGACTATGCCCCCACCTTTCTCAGGCTTCAGCTCCCTAGGAGCCCTATTCTCAAGAAAAGACCTTCCTAAGTGGAGGTATCCATCCAAACATCATCATCTTCTATAGAACTCTTCCGGTCCTCTTGACCTGGAAGTAACAAAAACCCCTTGTGACTACTTATTTCACATTCAGAGTGCCACAAAGTCTTACCTTCTGCTCTACTCACCATTTCGCTTTTCTATTCATTTCCTTGATTAGGGAAATGCTTGTCTTTTATCTGAGTCCAGCCATGTCTCTTTAAGTACATATTTTTTCTGTCTTGCCGTATGACTTGAACAAAGATGCCATCTTGACCTGAAGACTCGCTATTCTCTTTCTAATTCTATGATTATGGCCAAAACGTTACCCCATCTCACTCAAGACATCCCTTCTGATTCTCAAAAGACTGTTTTGGAAGTCAGAAAGCTGAACATTGACTGTTTCTTCTTTTCATTTTCTCTCTAATGATCTACTTATCCTCAAGGCAGTGGAGATGCATCTTATTGAGAAGACTAAAGGTCATGATAGAAATGAAATGATAAAAAGTGAAAGCTCAAAAATTACTACTTTGAGATGTTTTCTATTTATGTCCTTAATAAGGCATACGCTTCAAAGCCTAGCTAAGCCATTCATGTGTGCATGGAATTAAACATAGACCACTCTAGAAACAATTCAGCTGAGCCTGAATTAGTGTGTCTTATTGACTTCCTCTAGCACTTTCTATTCCTGCTGGTGTGTCAGCTACAGGAACCTGAGGAAAATGAGGAGAATGCACAATTCTTTAGGCTCTGGGGACTGAGGAGCAGAGAGGAAGAAGAGATGCTAGAAGTGGATTTATCCCCTGGGGACTTTGAACACAAGACCAATTCTTGGCTTTCATGGGTGTGGGTAAAGAGATAACACCCGAGTAGCAAGACAGGAAACCCTCAGATAGGGGAGGAGAGTAAGAGAGAGTGAGAACAAATGTCCCAAAGTTTTGAAATACACACTTATGAACCGGCCACTGTGCTTACGTCCAATATCCATTCCCTCTCCATTCTCTTCTGGTTGACCTTTTGTGACCCTGTGCTCTTCCAGGGCATGCCGAGTGCTCAGGTGAACCAGATCCCATCTGGATTTTTTTTTTTTTTTTTAAGTCAGTGCCTTGATCAGTTGAAGATTACTTCTCTTTTCTTTCTTTCTTTTTTTTTTTTTGCCCGTTGCGGAGCACAGGCTCCGGACGCGCAGGCTCAGCGGCCATGGCTCACGGGCCCAGCCGCTCCGCAGCATATGGGATCTTCCCGGACCGGGGCACGAACCCGTGTCTCCTGCATCGGCAGGCGGACTCTCAACCATTGCGCCACCAGGGAAGCCTCCATGTGGATTTTAATGCCTGTGAAACAAGACACACACAAGGTAGCACCCATGGCTGATGTGAACACATCAATAACAATCGGTGACTGTGGACTCAGATTAAAAATTCTATCTCAGTATATATTTTTTAACGTCAGTACACTGGAAATAGGGATAACAAAAACTGAAGCAAAGCATGAACAGAATTTTACTTTTAAAAATCATCTTTGGTGGATAGTATGATGATCAATCTTTTTGTTTTGTTTTGGTTTCAAATTAATTTATTTAGTTGCTTTGGGTCTTAGTTGTGGCAGGCAAGCTCCTTAGTTGCAGCAGGCTGTCTCCTTAGTTGCAGCTCGAGGGCTCCTTAGCTGTGGCTCGCTGGCTCCTTAGTTGTAGCATGCAAACTCTTAGTTACGGAACGCATGTGGGATCTAGTTCCCTGACCAGGGATTGAACCTGGGCCCCCTGCATTGAGAGTGCAGAGTCCCAATCACTGCACCATCAAGGAAGTCCCATGACCAGTTTTATGTAAGCTTGGCTAGGCTATACTCCCCAGTCATTCAATCAAACACTAAAGGTGTTGCCATGATGGTATATTATAGATGTACTAATTTCTACAACCAGTAGATTTTAAGTAAAGGCGATTATATTCAATAATCTGAATGGGCCACCCCCAATCAGTTGAAAGGCCTTAAAAGCATAACTGATGTTTCCCTGAGGACAAAGAAATTCCGCCTGTGGACTGTAGCTTCAGCTTGTGCCCAGGAATTTCTGGACTTCTCTTCCTGATGGGCCACTCTATGAATTTTAGAGTTGCCTTGCCAGTCCTCATGATTGCAAAGGCTAATTCCTTATGATAGAGCTCTTGATACAGAAGTATGTGTGTTTGTGTGTATGTGTGTGTGCCTGTCTGTCTGTCTGTGTGTCCTACTGGATCTTTTTCTCTTGTGGAACCCTGACCGATACAGATTTTTATAGTACAAGTGTTTTCAGAGGGATAGAATCTTAAGAACGAGGTTTCTAAATTGATTCTGAGTTTTCTGGAATAAATTCTCTAGTTTGATTAGCCTTAAAGACACTAATGAATATTTCTAGTGGTAGAGAGGGTACTGATAATCCACAGTATGATGTGGCAGTAGAGATAGGCAAAATATCACCATTGGATACTATCAAATACCTATAAAGGGTAGGGCTCTGGGTAGCCATGTGTTTGATATTGTACAACATTTTGGACAGCCTAAGAAATATAATGGATTTGGCTGGTTGCTCCTACTTGCGCTGGAGAAAGTAGGGAAA